GGTTAGGGTGGGAGGTGGGGGGGGAGGGAAACTGATGGAATCTGGTAAAGGATCTGAGCAGGACTGCTGAGCTTATATCATGATCTGCCTCCAAATCTGGGAGCAGGAGAATGTATAAATACAAGAATAAAGTGAAGCAGCTTGGTGTGGATCTTAGTCTCATTGTTCCTGGAGTGAGAGAAGAAATGCAAGGGGCCCAAAGTCTGGTTGCTATTTCCAAGGAACAGCCTGGGAAGAAGAGGGACTGGTGTAGAGCCAGGATGGCATGACTTCATCATCCCATGTCAGGAGACAGGTATCCTTACCTTAAATCTGGCTGGTTGGCAATGGGCAGTTCTTCTAGCTTGTCTTAGTTAAAAACTTAAAGCTGCTCTGGCTTGAGTAGGCTTCTATGCCAAGAACTGGGATGGGATCCTCTAAATGCACATTCAATTCACTTTCCTTCCTTCATTCCTAGGGGTGGGTAGCTTAGAGTAGCCCAGCCGGTTTGCCAGGCAAGGGCTTCTGGGTGGAGACACCTGAGGAAGCTTTGGGACAGCTACATAACAAGTCTCTCAGACTCGGCCTGGGGGTGAAGGGAGTGGAGGTGTCAGCCATTTTGGCTCACAGTCTTCCAGATGGTTTTAGCTCACACATGGTTAATGATTAATGATGCCGGTGTGGCGTGGCAGTATCCAACTGCCACTTCCTGTCTACTCTGTTGAGTAAACAGGGGCCCTGCCTGTGCTGGGCTTGAAACCTGTTCCCCAGGGAAGGGCACTGCGTCCCCAAATCACAGGGAGGGGAAGCAAGGGCTGGGTTGGCTTCACCTGCTCCTGAGATTGAAGCTTCTTTCCCCAGCCCTGCCCACCGTCTGTGGGTCCTGGGGTGCCTATTAGCAAAGTTGAAATTTTCCCTGGGGCCCTGGCAAGAGGCTCCCACCAGCTAGCAGAGAGGCTGAGGCCAGAAAGAAAGCACAAACAGGAGACGACCTGACTTTTAATGGCACAGCCCTAGGCCCCAGCAAAGCAGCAAGACAGTAAGCTATGCAAAGTCGTTTATGCAGTGACATAAACAACTCTAGGAGATGGCCTTGTTCCCTCCCATCCCCCAAGCTTATGACTAGGCTCCATGCCAAGGAACTTTGGGCCAGCTCAGCCCCACTCCCAAGCCCTCATAACACAGAGGTGCCTGGGCCAAGCCTCGCTTCCAGAGTCTGTGAATGCAGAGGCAGCAGGAAGAACAGGGTACTAGTCCAGCTCAACTACAAAAACTGTTGGACTTAAACTCCTACTCGGAAAGGAAGTGAAGACATATCCTTCAACAGCTTGTGGCTGGACAGACTGGCCCAGGATTCAGTTATCTCCTCCCTGTCCTGGGTGCCCCTTAGGATCTTACATCAAGGTCCCTGGGGTAATGTTTTCTGAGCCTGGCAAGGGATCCTTGGCAGGTCTCACCTTCAGCCATAGAAGGGAAAAGGGTCATGAGCAGCAAATAGGGCAGCAGCGGCAGCAGCAGAAGCAGCAGAAGCAGCAGCAGCAGCACAAGAGGAAGGCAGCAGAAGCTCAAGTACTCACAGAGGGAACAAGAAACCGTGCAAGGAGACTGTTTATTTCGAAAGGATTTTGCAATAAACATAGTGAGTGGCTCCGGCAGCTGGTCTGTTCTTACTCTTCTCCCTCGTCCTCGTCCTCGTAGGAGTCGATGCCCACCTCCTCGTAATCCTTCTCCAGGGCCGCCATGTCCTCCCGAGCCTCGGAGAACTCACCCTCCTCCATGCCCTCGCCCACATACCAGTGCACAAACGCCCTCTTGGCATACATCAGGTCAAACTTGTGGTCCAGGCGGGCCCAGGCCTCAGCGATGGCGGTCGTGTTGCTCAGCATGCACACGGCACGCTGCACCTTGGCCAGGTCACCGCCGGGCACCACAGTGGGTGGCTGGTAGTTGATGCCAACCTTGAAGCCCGTGGGGCACCAGTCCACAAACTGAATACTGCGCTTGGTCTTGATGGCAGCAATGGCGGCATTGACATCCTTGGGCACCACATCTCCACGGTACAGCAGGCAGCAGGCCATGTACTTGCCGTGACGGGGGTCACACTTCACCATCTGGTTGGCAGGCTCGAAGCAGGAATTGGTGATCTCTGCCACAGACAGCTGCTCGTGGTATGCCTTCTCTGCAGAGATGACTGGCGCGTAGGTGGCCAGGGGGAAGTGGATGCGCGGGTAGGGCACCAGGTTGGTCTGGAACTCTGTCAGGTCCACATTGAGGGCCCCGTCAAAACGTAGGGAAGCTGTGATGGAGGAGACGATCTGGCTGATGAGACGGTTGAGGTTGGTGTAGGTGGGGCGCTCGATGTCCAGGTTTCGGCGGCAGATGTCATAGATGGCTTCATTGTCCACCATGAAAGCACAGTCTGAGTGCTCCAGGGTGGTGTGGGTGGTCAGGATGGAGTTGTAGGGCTCCACCACAGCGGTGGACACCTGGGGGGCTGGGTAGATGGAGAACTCCAGTTTGGATTTCTTGCCATAGTCAACAGAGAGCCGCTCCATCAGGAGGGAGGTGAAGCCAGAGCCGGTGCCCCCCCCAAAGCTGTGGAAGACCAGGAAGCCCTGAAGTCCTGTGCACTGGTCAGACTGAAAGGCAAGAAAGAGAGAGAGCAATGTAGGTAGAGGAGGGGCCTGAGGAACTCTATAGTCTGACTCCACAAAAGCCTAAGTATCTCAGGAGCCAGAGCAAAGACTAATGAGTATTCCACATCGGCAACATGTTCTGGAACATGTACAATTAGAGATGACTCCTTCAAAAAGATCTGGGGAAAAAATGTTCCCAACCCCTAGCATCATCTCAAAAGCTCCCTCCCTTCCATGCCAGACTCACCAGCTTGCGGATCCGGTCCAGTACTGGGTCGATGATCTCCTTGCCAATGGTGTAGTGACCACGGGCATAGTTGTTCGCGGCATCCTCTTTCCCAGTGATGAGCTGCTCTGGATGGAAGAGCTGCCGGTATGGGCCATTTCGGATCTCATCTGCAAGGGCATAAACCACATCGTCAGGGCCCAAACCACAGGCTGTCCTCAGCTGGGCTTTCCCTCCCTCAGTGTGGTAGCTGCAGTGAGATATGTAAAATAGTTCATCCTTCTGCCAGTCTGAGATACCAGTGTGTGAGAGAAACCCGGACCTGCTGTGCAGGCCAGCCTAAGATTAGATTGCCTTCTTTAGATTCAAACTGGGTGAGGAATTTTCAGGGAGAGAAAACCAGGTCTAGATGCTGTCTCCAGAAAGAAGCTTTAGAATCACTCTCCACTCCCTTCAATTCCACCCCCTTCTTTCTCTCACCAATTACAGTGGGCTCCAAATCCACAAAAACTGCCCGGGGCACGTGCTTTCCAGCTCCAGTTTCACAGAAGAAGGTGGTGAAGGAGTCATCTCCTCCACCAATGGTCTTGTCACTGGGCATCTGACCATCAGGCTGAATCCCATGTTCCAGACAGTAGAGCTCCCAGCAGGCATTGCCCATCTGGACACCTGCCTGCCCCACATGTACTGAGATGCATTCACGCTGAGGGATAAAGAGAGGGGACACAGCATAAGCCCCACATCTGTAAGTCCTCACCTCATAAACCTCTCTCCCACCCCATCACCAACTAGCTAGGATGGCTCAGTTGGCAAAAGTGGAAGCTTGGGGATGGAGCGAGGTCAGAGAAGGCTGGCAGCCTGCCCAGGCTCCCCTGCATAGGGCTCCCCAGTTGGAGACACTCAGTAGGGCAGGCCGGCCCCTTCACCTACTACTCCATGGGGACCTTGTCAATTAAGAGCTGTGGCTCTACATTTGTAGGATACTCAGGGAAGGAGAGGGCAGGCTCACATGAGACCAGCAGACGCTGCAGGGGCTGAGACAAGGACAAGCAACTTTTTAGCTGTGCCCAGTTCCTATTCCATTCACGCTAAAGGCCCCACTTGATTAACTCTTTGCTTTGATGATGAACAACTATAATTTCACACAACCCTCTCCCCCTTTCTTTCCTGTGGGCTGCAGAGGTGCCTCAGCCTTCCAGTCTGGCATCCACTGACCACACTGCCATCAGAATGTCCTCTCCCCCACCTTCAAATCCCGTCTGGCTCTGGGATCAAACCCATCTGGCTCCTCTCCCCCCTCCCACTCCCCCCCTCCCCGCACTCTGGGTGTCTTTACCGCCTTCATCCAAGGCGACAGGCCTCAGGAAAATAGAGAGATAATGCTGGTGAGCACAGAGGGCAGGTGAGGGCAATAAGGGTTGTAAGCATTGGGGCAGTCGCTGCTCTAAACTAGTCCGTGCCAGTTTCAGAGTAACCCCTGAAGTGCCAAAGCGGTGAGGCGCCCGGCCGCGCAGCCCCCCCTCCCCCGCGCAACACGGAAACGGCGGGGTGAAGGTTTCCAAATACTCAGAAAAGGAAGCGGAACCCGCGGTGAGGCCCAGAGGTAGCCCGCCTCGCCCCGAGCAGGATGAGCGCCATCCGGCACCCGGCCCTGTACTCGCCCCCCTTCTTTCCAATTACATCCCAGCGGAAAGCGAGGATTGGATTTCGGCCCCCGTCCCCGCGCTATAAATACCGCCCCCCCACCTCT